TTATTCAAAGTAGATATTCGTCCTAACAGAATAACAAATTAAAAACAAACAAAAAACCAACCGTTGTTTCTTATCACATACAACACATGAATTTGATAATTAAGCTTGCTTTGAGCAAGTTGGAGAGTGAGAAAATCATTTTCACAACAAATTTTTTATATATTCTGAAAGGTAATGTGACAGGTGCCCTCTAGTGTCAATTTTTGGCTATAAGACCTTGAAAAAAAGGAATAGGCAGAAGAAAAGTAAAACTTGACTGTAAATCTTCATTAATTCAATTAAGTTACAAGGCAAAGCATTTTTAAAAAAGATAAATTAAGAAAACTACCAATGGGCTACAAATAAATTTAAAACTCTGGTAGCTTTGGACCAGTAAGGGAAATGAAAGAAACAGGTAATAGTGGATTTCCCTTGGCATAACAGAGAAATCTGTGATTCTCTTAACCCTTAAGGAGCTGTATTTTACCCAACCACTCTGCTTTTAGTTACAACTTAAGTTAAACATAACCCGAAGACGTAGAGATCAGATAAAATGTACCTAGGGCTGTGATAGATGTCTATACAGAGATGAAATGGTACCTCAAATAACTGAGATGATTAAAAAAAAGTATCTAGGAGCATATATACAACAGCACTATTATTCACACTATATGCCTTGGTTTAAAAAAAATACTTCTTAGTGTTAGTAATATCACCTCCAGAAATCAAAGGGTATTTGAGCTCTATGTGCATTTAATTTTTTACCCATTACTATGGAAACTACTGTAGACAGTCACTTGATAGTCTCTTGAGCACTATCTCACTTAACAGTTGATAAATGAATATAAATCCTAGTAATCTTGTTACTTTCAATAAATTGGGTCTTAGGTTCTTCTCAAGCTTCAATATGTCTTCTTTGTACAAATCAAAGGTTATAATAATTTTTCTTTCTCTCTTTTTCTCTGGAAGCAGGGAGAGAATGGGTGAGAGCTCTGTCAAACTCCCACACAGCTCACTGGTTAAAGTTTATGCGCCCACTTTGAAACTTGTATTTTATCCTGATTCCCTGTGGAGATATTGGAAACGATTTAATCTTGTAAGGCAGCCACAATGTAACGAATAAATGAATCTTATTCTTTCTGTGTGAATATACAGAAAGATGTAGATACAACCCTATCTCTACATAGTGACTATATAGAAGATATATTCTATAGCAATTTTTAAAAAAACAAAGGCAATTCATTTTTTCATCTATCTACCCACCTACCTACTATGTCTTTTTCCCCAGATGTGTGATTTATTATAACAAACTCCCCATGGAGAAGGGAGAAGTCTTTCACTGAAACGGATCAGAAACACATCTGTAACTTAGAATCTTCTAACTATAATCACTGAGAAGTTAAATCACTCACCCATGGTCACACAGCTGGTCTGTAAAAGAAGTAGGTCATGAACCCAGGTCTCCCTGATTTCAAGACTTGTATTCTATCCACTAAGTTACACTGCCATCCCTTAGGTAAAACCTTGTTAAAACAAAATCTATATGTTAATAATGTGGGAAAGCAAGAAATTTTTCTTTATTCAAGTATGAAAAATTCACACTACTCATCAAGAAGCTAAAGAACCCTAAAAAGAATTTTCCAATTAATTCTTATTATGGACTTAATTTTCTCATATTCTGGTAGGTGTGTAAGGCTGTATGAAACAAAAGTATTAACCATAAAAAAGAGATGATTCTTCATAGGACTATATGCTATTGTATGGTAAGGCTGAATTCTTATCCTTATCAAAATTTAAGATCAAAATTTAATAATTTCTAACATTTTACAGCAGGAATAGCAAATGGGTTTCTTTCTCATCAAAAATAGTAATTTTAGGGGCAGCTAGGTGGCACAGTGGATAGAGCACTGGCCCTGAAGTCAGGAGGACCTGAGTTCAAATCTGTCCTCAGACCAAACACTTGACACTTACTAGCTGTGTGACCCTGGCAAGTCACTTACCCCCGATTGCCTAACAACAACAACAACAACAACAACAACAACAACAACAACAACAACAACAA